TGCCGAATCCAAAAAATACATCCCTTTCAAAGCCAGACGCATACAAGGCTTGCCGATTCACTAAGATAGGAGCTTTGGTAGAACTTGGGAAACAGTAAACCACCCGAACAGATGGACAAAAAAACGATGCTCTGACTTCTTTTAGTGTCGCTTTCATAGGCTGGCCAGAAAGTATCTATGAACATGAATAGCTCAAATGATACCTGAGCTTATTGGCTTCATGGACAGCTGTATTGTTAAAAAGGCTCTATTTTGTAAAGCTTTAAAAGGCTCTGTTTTGTATGGGTTTACCTCGTTGATATGGTCAAGCTATTAAAGATAAAAAGTGTCGGTGTCATAGAAAACGGTGGGGTAGCAACGGGGAGGGTGCATGTCGGTGTCAGAAGAATTATTGACAGAAAATTCGATTTAAAACGGACTAGATGTCCACCGAATGTCCGCTAAAGGGGATTTCAGGAGAGCGAATGTCATTCGCCAAAATGGCTCGGGCGGGGAAAAGAACATAAGAAATGATGAAAGCCAGTAATGATGAATCAAAAACAAAAACACGGGAATGTAAAATGGGCATAGCAAGGAGAGGAATAATTTATTTCTCCCGGCTCAGGTGAATAACACAAGAGTCGATATGCAAGAATGGGGCGATATGGGTATAGAAAACAATGCCCAACGGGATTACGGAGCGACCACGGCACCGGGGTTTAAAGGGATTGCAGCCATCAATTGGCGCTGGAAAATTCGAACGATGCACAATTCCCAAGGGAGTAGGCATAAATTGGATGTAATTGAAGAGAATATTTTTAAATTGAATTGGAATATTGAACGACTCGTACCGACAGTGCTCGCCGGACCGTCCTCTCAGCCTGTGGGAAGTGCTAGTGCCCACAGTGTCCCCCAATCCAAGTCTTGCCCATGGTTAGCAAAATATTAAAAGGGAAACAGAGAATACAAAAAAATTCATGTTGTGAATTTTCTTTCGAGCGTTTAATGGCACTACTAATACCCAGCAATGGGAGGGTGTAATCGCAATCTTCGATACAATGTGTCACCTCGCTTCTGAAAGGAGATCTACACGCCGTGGAGGAGGCTTAGAAATGTGATTCTGTGACAAGATGGCGCTTGGTCAAATTCTGCCAAAAGAACGGCGGACACATCGATGGAATTCGTATTGGAGAAGCAGAAGCCACCAAAAGCGTTTTGCCGACGGAACTGAAGAAAGTGGAGCCCCGGGAAGAGAGCAGCGAAATCTAGGGAGGTTTTTTCGCCAGAATAAATCCACCCTCTCTAACCTTCCCCACCTTTGTTTTCCCTATGTAAAACTACCGGATATTGAACCCTCCCAGAACGCAGCAATGGTTCCGATTTCGAATCTACGACGAAGATGAATGCATGACTGTTCAATGAAGCAACGAATAAAATTAGGCATCGGTCAATTTTTGGTATTGCCTTTGGTTGAGCCAAGCATCACGTAATCAGTCCTGAGAATGTGACTTTTCGAACAAGTGACTGCATCCCTACGATCGTCCCAGTGGCGCGCCAAACTGAAAACTCCGTATCCTTTCGCTACGCTCGATTCATCTCTTGCCTCCAATTTCCTTGTAGCCCTATTCTTACTAACACATTACCAGTAGCAACTTTGACTTTTTAGCAGCTTCAGCAAAATCTCTACGTTACTTGCGATTCTAGCTCAGAAAATAATCAGAGAGGGACGGTGGGCACAAGCGAGACATGGGGACGGATCAAGGAACCTTAATGAATGCCCTTTCCTGAAATGAAGTTCTTTCCCTTAATGCGACCATCAGACGCCGTCGGACAAGCCAGGAGACTAATCCGATTCAACGATGTGTTATGGCAAATATAAATGCTTCGCCAGCAGAGAACCACTAAATTCCACCGCAGTACGAAGAGCTTCCCAAGATTTCTGAGGGGGATCACTTGGAAAGTCCGAAAAGGGTGCACCAGCAAGTGGCAAGCGAACTTACCCCTCCCCTTTCCGACTCTAAGAAATATACTCCCGTCTAGGCAGAGATTTATGTCTTCTGTAGGCACTGATTTGAGTCGGAATCGATATGAATTCTCAATGACTTCAATTATAGAACATGAACAACAGAAGAACGAAAAAATGTAGGTCCATTTGATGATATTAAGTAGCTCATGGGCGGAGGCGGTGTAGTGGCAAGTGGCACACCATCACAGACGCATGATCTCGGGTTTGGTTCCCGGATAGACATCCGCCCAGGCCAACCAAGCCTTCCATCCCTCCGGGGTCGATCAAGTGGTGTCCAACTCGTCTGGGAGGATCAAAGCACTGACTTGTACATCGGCTGGCCACCGCAAGTCGTTGAATAGGCTACGTACGTAATCAATACGCCACTACGATTCTGATTGAAAGTCGAATGCGTGGGCGCATCCCTTAGACGGGATTCATTAGTGCCCCAAGACTTTTAGATGTCAGATTTCATCAACTTAGCTCGACTCATCATGAGACCACACCGGATTAAAGGGATATAGTAGGTGAAGCATGTTGCGCTCGCTTTAGACCGACATTGTAGAAACCATAGCTTAGGAACCTAATGTATCGTCGTAATAGAATGTCATAGCACCGATGTGAATAACTTACCACGACCTTATCAGGTTCAACGTGCGAATCGAAGTATGCACTAGGTTTCAGGAGGTAACCAGACGTGGTAAGCACTCGTCAAGTCAAAATGATCATGACAAATATTTATTTTTCAGGAACCACAGATGGTGATTCTTACAAAATTCTCCTACAAATCCTTACAATGTGATTTTGTAACAGGTCAGTAGACAATCATNAATTCGCTCTATCGTGGATGACGTTGATTAAAAAAAAAGATGGCGCTAAACTTCCTGGGATTTAGAATGGCAGCAGTTGAAGAAATGTCACTGTCAGGGCGTAGGCATCGTGCACGAAAGTAGGAAATTGTAAATGAAGGAAAGCCTGTCGGAACAAAACATAATTGCGCTTCGGAACGGCCTAGTGACTGACAGGATTAAATGAGCACTTCCCTTACCGAGGAAAAGAAATTCGAGCTATTAATTTGAGCGATGCGTGGGCAATGGAAAAAGTGATTAACTCCGCGATGGGAGTAGTTTTGAATATCAGGGCTCCAAAGACCGAGAAGTTCGCCCCCAATTTTTTTCGAAGCTACTCATTCATATAGAATGCGAATGGGACGTTCGTTCTAATCCAAGAGGCTGAGTAAACGATGAGATCATTACCTTGAACAGGTTCGACGCGAAAGGGACAACGATAATGGAGAAGCGAAGGAAGTCCAGCGAGAACTTTTCGTTGCCTACACAGTCATCGACTAACTATGAGCGTCAGCACCACCCAGAAGGTGGAGCATGCATTGGACAGTATTTCTCGTTACTCAGGGTGGGTAATGAGTATCCACTTCCTGTAATCAATCAACTCCATGGCATAGTAATAAATTAAAGGCACAATTCACGATAATTTTGTGGTTCCCGTTTTTATTCGAAAAGCCAAAGTATAGATTGGGAATAGTTCATCGGTAGTGAAGAAAGCATAGAATTCGCCGATTTCGAGAAAAAATAGCCCCTCAAAAGTAGGGGAAATACGAGATTGCCATGACGGAAATAATATGGAAGAGGTATTCAGAGATTTCAGTTATTGCAATCGCACAATGAGCTGACTACATTAGACCAGAACTGTACAGAACTGTCTTTCACTGTCGCTATGGGTCATGACAAATTGTTTGAACTTCCTACATGGGTTCCCTTGTGATCGGTGCAGCCTCTACAACGCAGGTGAAACTCGTTCGGATTCACACGGGCCAGTCTTTGAGCCTTTACAACTCCCTAACTAGGTCGTTTTCCGACCTAATAGTGCCAGATATGGTGTACGCGGGGGCCCCGAGTTCATCCTGTGGGGAAATCTCAGAAACCATTTCTATCGTGAACTGTGCCTCTCAAGAGTTCGAGGGTATCCATTCATTGTCGATCAAGAGAAAGGCTTTTGTTAAGAGTATGGTTTTCCTTCAGAAAAGAAGCCAGAAGAATCAGAAGCCACAAATCTGTTGGCCTATGTCCCCTAGGCGTTATCCCCACAAACGATTCATTCAGTTGGGACTCAAAAAAGTTCAACGAGTATTTCAGGGTGCTTTCAGTTTCACGAAGCATCCATTGTTCCCGGTGGTTACTTACTTAAAGGTGAGGAGTGAGAGATATACTGTAACCCCTGAACGTGCCGAGGATGAAGCTCACTCGCCCTCGCTTCGTTCCATGGCTACGGTACAGGCTGTCATGGGGCATTCAAAATCCGATGACATAAAAAATCTTGAAAGGTCAGCATTATGATAGTCACAGCCATTTCAAATGGTCATAAGTGGATGTGGAAGATCGACCAAGGCCAGAGTAATGGACCGACAATACTGAAGAAATCTTTCATACCGCTTCCTTATAGCCATTCCTTGCTGTTCAAAAAATATAAGTTGTAAAGACAAATTAGAAGAGTGGGAAAGAAGCTGAGTGGTCAGTGGTGGCAAGGTANAGGATGAAGCTCACTCGCCCTCGCTTCGTTCCATGGCTACGGTACAGGCTGTCATGGGACATTCAAAATCCGATGACATAAAAAAACTTGAAAGGTCAGCATTATGATAGTCACAGCCATTTCAAGTGTTCATAAATGGATGTGGAAGATCGACCAAGGCCAGAGTAATGGACCGACAATACTGAAGAAATCTTTCATACCGCTTCCTTATAGCCATTCCATGCTGTTCAAAAAATATAAGTTGTAAAGACAAATTAGAAGAGTGGGAAAGAGGCTGAGTGGTCAGTGGTGGCAAGGTAAGTAAAAGTAAAACCGAGAATGAAAATTGAAATGAAAGACTTAAAGGAAAGCTAGAACATCAAAAAACCAGAGCCCTAAAATTTGACAGAAACTAGGAAAAGGGAAATAGGCTGACAGTTCATTAAAATATGTCATTACCATGGCCTGTCTGTGGATGACATCGGACGCATTAATTTGTAGCTGCTAATGGATTTTCGAAAATGATGTCGAGATGAATGCCAGACATCGGAGGAAGAGTTCCAAATCGTAGTGAGATCTGGTTCAACATCGGGATTGGTTCAACACCACTGACGCATCCGCCCACAGATTGCCATAGCACTGGGTCAGCTGGCGTCAGTGAGCAATTCACATATTTACGGGGTGCATGACAACGATTTGCAACCACCTGTTCGAGATTTTCCAAATCACTTGAGAAGCCTACAAATTTACGGCAAAATATGGGCGCAGCAGGTCTGGAATTATACGGATTTCGCCCAATAATTCACTGCTTCACAAGGTCCGGAAACGGCAAATGGCAAACGCCATCTTTCGGAGACACCTGCGGGTCAACGAGGCCGTATATCCGCGCTGAACGAAATTGGGCGTTGGACCAGAAGGCAAAAGAGCTGCCTTTTGGGGAACCCGTTTGACAAAGATCGAAGGTATGCATTTCTAAAGGTCGCACGAACATATTACTCTCATGAGCTACTCGAGCGCCCAAATCAACAAAATCTGGAAGTGGAACGTTATCAAAAAAGGCTGACTAGGCCAGCGGAAGTTTGGCTGCAGCCCTGAAAAGCCATGAACAGTAAGATTAATGCTCGACTTCATGAAAGCGATGGATACGTTCCCGGCTATTATACGTTCCCATTTTTCTGGTAAAATTGTTCGAAAAGGGATCACAGGCTGGTGTTAAAGTATTTGCTAAGGGTGGGGAAGTAGATGTACTCCTATCTGACCCACCAACAGGTTTTTTTTATGACGCCTTATTGTGGACTGTCACCACAACATTGCAACTCGCTACTTGAGGTGTGTTCATGTTTTCAATCAAGCGGTACCGCCGAAAAAACCCTTCCCCTGTTTGGAGACGAATTCCCACATCCAGTAAGCACAGCCACATTCCACAAGAGATTTATCTAGATTGTCATGGAAACAGTGCCGCTGGGTTCATAAAGAGATGGCCATATGCCCAAAAGCGACGATTTTTGAATCCAATCTACCCAGACGATATGAAATCACTGCAGCCAATCGTGAATTTCATCAATTCCATATACATTATTGAAACGAATTTGTTACTTTCTGCCAATTCCACAAGTTGTGTTCTTCAGAATACCCCTGGTCTGGTCAAACAGGCTCGCCCAAAACAACTATTGTTTAGAGAGAGATTACTGGAAAAACCCACAGTGCGCATTCGACGCTAGCGCTTCGGGTCCTGCTGGTCGGGGTGCCATATCGGGAACGCCGACCATACCGATCCGGATGTTGGTACTTTTCCGGGTGCACATGGAGCACTTGTTCGAGGCGTCTGAAAACAAAGAGAATAAGTGGGGAGCTCTATATGAAAAAGGCACTTGCCACTTGTTTATTGTAGCCGTCAGGCAACTCATGTCTTGCAGCGCCTCAGAGAATTTTTGATTTCTGCATTTGACCGGATTTCTTTTTAGACATCAACAGATGCTGTAATGGCCATCCCTTATGCCTTCAGTGCCCGACCTCGGAAACCTAAGCCTGATGGACGAATTCATCTAAGGAAATATCATAAATGCGAGCAAACCTCCGAAACTTTCACCTATTACACAATAAAGCCCTCCAAAAAATTATTTTGCAAGACCTCCCCTATATACTTTCACGCAAGCACCCTCTGAAATAGTTTTGACTCAGGTTTCAGGTAAGAAGAAACAGTCTCAAAGCGTTCACAAAACGGAATTCGTTGCCTATGAATGATCAATCTCTTCAGCCTTCTGTGAATATCTCAGGATCTAGTCGAAGTGAACAGAAAGTAGGAGACGAAAGTTCGATTTCGACGACCCATCTGACTACCACATGTGAATTTTCGATTAGCACTATGAAAGTTTTGCTGCCCCTAACATCTACGCTTTGATAGGTTTTCTCCAGAAAGTCTCATTTAGACTGAACGAAACTGCAGAGAGCGGTAGTGATTCGGACCACACAGCAGTCATTCAACGGTCAGATGGAGCTCTATCAGCTCATCACTGGTCATCGGGCTCTCATGAGCTGTTGAGAGCGAGGGTGCGAGACCAAACCAATTACCCTTATTGTCACTTCGTCGTTCAACATGTTCGCTCATCTTTATACTGTAGGTACTGTAGCACCGGGAATCAAAGACCACAAAAGGATGCTATGTGAGCAAGCTTTCCCCATTCAGCATAGGCAATAAGATAAGATGACGAAAAAGCGAACAAAGCGGATTTTGTTGTTTTTCTCATCTTCACACATAATTTTAGCTTTCTTAGAACCGGCGGATTATGTCATCAAGACGACAGCAGTTGGCATTAGAAGGCGGACTACGTGATGATGGTGCTCCAGTCTGCAGTTTCTGCACAATAAAGCCAGTTTTACCGAGATCAGGAAATATTATTTAGAATAGAGGAAACAATTAAAGAAAGTAGTTCATCTAAGACATAATTCGTAAGTGAATGAGAACGAAATAACTGCCATTTTAAATTTGCCGAAAATTGGGCTATATGTATAGCCACTGTGTGACTGTTTCAGCGCAGCAAGTTTTGAGGATCAGATAATGTTCGCTCTTTTGGGAGCATCCTCTAGAATTTCAACTCCCTTTCGCTGATCGCCATTTCGTCGAGCCAGGATTTTTGAGCTCCATGGTACTTCCCATGGGGCTCAAAGGGAGGTGGTGTTTAGGTCCAAATTACTGACTTCAAAAAAATAGCGAGCTCGTACCCGAGTAGCCATTTTGTTACATTTGTTACTTATCCCTTTCTTATCCTTGCTGTCATGCGGAATCTTGTACTGGTAAGTTTTTAAGCTCATCCTCGTGATAGATTCCTCGTTGTTCTGTGAACTAGAAGGTGGCAAAAGGGGTTTTGGTGGAAAACAAGACAGGCGATGATTTATGGGACAGATGAAGCCAGTGAATTGCCATTAAATAAAAGCATATAGCAGCAAATGTGAATTGCAAATGATGAGATCATCGCTGTGAAATTGCGATGATCGTCTAAACTCTCCGTTTAAATCTACTCAAAAAATGAAAGTCATGTGTTTATGTAAAACAGCTTGGTTGGTTTGGCCGGGTGCATACATTGTTGGTGGAAGGGAATTCAGATACGACCAAAACGAGCTAAAAAATAAAACAACAAGTAGAGGCCTGTGTCGAGCAGATATGGCGCACTGGGTAGGGGTAAGTGGTCCCACATTAAAGTGTTAAAACGCAGGAATTGGTCTATTTTACTTTTTCGGTGTCCGTAGTGTAAAACAAGCCTTGTTCAGAATGGTAAAATCCTAATTTCAGTGTTCGACGACCGTCCCAAGCCATCGTATTAGTTTAACAACAATCAAGTTTACCGACGTAAGATTCCTAACTGGAACCACCCATGCTGCTCCCAAAATCCAGTATTTGGTTTACCTTGAGGCTTCCTTGGATTTGTTTGAAGTCTGAAAGGTAATGACTATTCTTCGCCACCTACTTTCCGGCTTCAATTACTCGTCAATTGGTGTTCATAGGGTCGGCCACCTAATCAGTGCAAACTCTTCAGCAGGCCAAAATGGACCATTCGAGAGAGTGAGGGAGGCCGCATAGTTGCAAGGATTTCCCTAGTATGTAGAGTAGTAGGCTACGGTAATCCTTGGTCGCCATGACCAAAGATTACCGTAACCAATGAGAGGGACCAATAGTATAATGAAAGCATGATTTTTGGGATTAACAAGAGAGCACCTTATTCCCTGGTCGCTGTAGAAAGTCAGAAACGAACGTAAAGCTGTCCGTAGCTGTCTCAAGCAACGAAACGTGGTTAAATGGCTGGTGGCTCCTGCGAATCGAAGGGTAAAATAAAAGTCATTTGGTGTTGATCAGCCCCTTTGAGGAATATGTCCCTTATCCTGTCCCTATGTCTCCACTTTCATTCAGAATTGTAGTGGCATAGAGAGTTGCGTATGTAGCCTATACAATGACTTGCGATGGCCAGCCGATGTGCGATTCAGTGCTTCTATCCTCCCAGAGGAGTATGAAACTAATTAACCGACACCGGAGGGATGGAAGGTTGGTTGGTTTAAGCGGATATCTAGAATGGATTTGAACTCGTGACCATGCCTACGTGTTTTCCCTCCCAGACGAACCAATCGAAACCAGCTATTCCAGCAAACGATCATGAGCGCTTGCAAGAGGTTTACTTATGTCCATTTACTCACGCTAGCAATCCACACTTGCAAGAACTGCACCTCTCGGCCCCCTACAGCCCCCCCCCCATCTACCTTATCCAAGGCTATTTTACGATGCGTCGTTTATGTGACACGGGGGATGGTTGTATGTGCTGTTAGCACGCAATGGCAGACCGTTACCATGAGTAGAAATAAATGTGACCCGGTGGAAGCCAATTCATGCAACGGTGCACTTAAAGGTTGAGTTGCTAATTTTCTGCTTCTATTGGAAAAATTCTGAATGGTCAGGCTGACTCCGAGAGGGCCAAAACCCACACATTTAAATTCCATAATGAATAATGTGGCGCTCTTTGGTCGATATAGTGGATTAAGGAGAGCCAGCCAATGTCAAATCAATGAATCTGAGTCCCCTGCCAACTAGGGTACCGGCTAGATTCTTTCGAAGGCTTGGATGGCTTGGTCATCCTAGACCTTGAAATCATACTCGGTGAGTGCGGGTGATTGTCGTTGTGGTACCACCTGCTACCACTCGACCCGCGCTTCAGAGGATTGACATGAAAACATTCTCATTGCCTAAGGGTAACATACAATAAAGTAGCTGAATGGAGTTAGCGAACCAAGTAAGTCATACTGCTGCTGTTTAGCTTTTTGAACCGAATGGGCCTTTTAGAGTATCCTGGAGGTGAAACGTCGCATGTGCATTCATAAATGTTTGTATGTGTATGCCGACTGTGTGAGACACAGAAAAGGGACAACGAGAGCAGTGGGAACTCGCCCGGACTCCGCTTTGATTGGGAATGGAAGTCGGATAAGTGGCGCCTCCTAAGGTTGTCATCAACTCATCTTTTTCCAACCCATGAAGACCGGAATGCTTTGCTCCACCACCTTCTGCTGCCTTGCAAAGTACCGAATAGGAATGATCCGCTTCTCCTCCTTCTGATGCTCTACGGAGACCATCATGGACCAACGGTTCCAATGCTAGTCAAGCCGCTTGTAGAATTTTTCGGCAACCCTTTTAGAGTAGTTGTTAATTCCAGAAGTCCCGAGCCTGTACTTCCTATTCTTAGCCGAAGCGGATTCTCTATGACGAATCCTTGACCGAAGGTGATGTTCAAAGAAACTACCAATCCGAGTGGAGTTATAGCCACAGCATGCAGAGGGTGAGCTCATCCTCGATGCCGTAATCTTCTCCAATCTCTTCTTACTTGTAATCCTCCTAAGAACTGGCTTATGAAAGCACTCTGCTCGATTGAGCATGCCGTGGAGGAGCAAGCGAGCATGGTAGCATGTCGGAAGCATCAACATATGGGCGAGATCGACCATCAATTGTTTTCTGTTGTTATTGTAATTCATTTGTTCATACGTAATTCCAATGAACGAATATGATTACGTCAAAACAAAGTATAATGACGATTTTTTCAATTAATCAAACTACTGCGCCAGATGTACCATTTCAGAGTTTTCTGACCCAGATGACTGCAAAACGAATGAAAGTTTCAGAAAGCAAAAGCCTCTGCGAAAACCCCACACTGCGATGAATTGGTGCCCCATACGTACTCGTAGTGAAACTCATTAGACAAGGCGCAACCATTCGCCGAAAAATTCAATTTCGAAGCGATTTCACACTGAGTACGGGTAAGAGTTGAATGTAATCAAGACCAACCAGATCCTCTACCCATTCAAGTGGTTGAGAGACTCAGGAAGTTCATAACTACACTTCCAATCATATCAAGCCTACAGACCGATTTCCAATGACATCTGGTGCCAAGGTCAAAGACTTTGTCCATTTCATAATTGAAGTAAAGGATGGGAGATGAAGTCTTTGGGTGTTAGTCAAGTCGTCAGAGGGATGCGCCCCGCATTCGACTTCCATTAAGAATTAAAGTGGCGTACTGCATGCGTACTTCACCTATACAATGACATGCGGTGGCCAGCCGATGTCTAAGCCAGTGCATTTAACCTCCTGGAGTAGTCTGGGACCAACCGAACGATCCCAGGCCTGAGCCTATAACAATTCGGGATTCGAACCCGTGACCATGCGTGTGTAATGGTGTGTCACTTGCCCCACCCATCCCGTCCATCACAGTCTACGTATTACCTAGTAATGCACAAT